ATGCTCACCAGACTCCCAAGCCTGACCCACTCAGTTTTTTTTTTTTTTTTGCATTACAGGTATTGGCACAAAGGTATAAGTTGGTGGACTTGACGAGAGATTTTGGATTATAGATCAGTAGTTATAAATAGTTGTTGTAAGGTCTATTTTATATTGTTTATGCTTTTGGTATGTATCGGAACATGACATCCCGAGGTTTTATAATTAATGAAAAGTACAACCTCTTTAAAAATGCTTTGATAAATTTTATTTTATCATATTTTATTTTGGGAACAAATTCCGCAACTGTTTTCTGTAAAAGATTACTCCGATTTTAAAAACAAAGCATAAACAAATCGGTATTTTCTGGCTGTGAAATTGGGGATGTCACAGATTATCCGCGAGATTCATCTTTACGAGGTGAGTTTTTTCCTGTAGGAACGGGTCGAAGGCACCAATGTCGGCCCGTTTATGTATGTTAGAATGTTCCAGACTAAGGTCTGATGTTGGGCAATGCCCGATGTAGGCTGTTATGTTTCCAGATTCCAATTCGATGCCAGACAGTGCCCGATGAATGTTTGTATGCTTCCAGATTTCGATCCGATGTCGGGCGGATCCCGAAGAATGTTTATATGTATGTTTCCAAACTACAGTTCGATGCTATGTGGTACCCGATGAAGGAATGCATGTTTAGTTATATTTGTTGTCTTTGTGATACTGGTATGTGCCTGGTAGGGAAGTGAGTGTGGCTAGGGTCCCGTATCTCATCACTAGCTGAGAGTGGACGGGGTTCCTGTAATGACCCAAAATTCAAGACCCACAATTTCTTTTAATAAAACATTACTTTAAGAAAAGTCATCATTCCAAAACATAATCAGAGTATAAGTTTTCAAAAACACATGTTCATTATCAGAGTAAACATTCACAGGCTGTCTATTCAATGGTGTGTGCCATGCGATCACCCCGAGCTCTTCCCTCCGCTACCAGAAGTACCTGGAACCAAAACTGAAAACCGTAAGCACGAAGCGTAGTGAGTTCCCCACCCTACCACATACCATGCATAATCACATACTGCATATACTGGGCCACACCCGCCATTTTAGGCCTCGCCCCCTACAACGACCCCGCCTGGCTTCAAGCCCCGCTCGGTTACAGATCTGTTTCACTTAGGCCTCACCTGTCATAAGGCCTCGCCCGCCAACAAATAATAACACATAAACATATCACAACACATAAACTAAACACATACAACTGGTTCTGTCCTAAGGCCTCGCCTATCCTAGGCCTCGCCCTTGTCCTGCTACTGACGAGTCATGGAACCCCGTCCATGCTCCTACTGGTAGTGAGATACGGGCCCAACCCACCCTCACTCCTTCCCTAACTTGGGCCTCGTCCCTGTTCTGCTACTAATGAGATATGGAACCCCATTCACACTCTACTATTGGTGAGATACGGGACCTCGCCCACACTCACCTCCCTACCAGGCACATACATGTATCACACAGACAACAAGTATAAACTATCATATAAACAAATCCTTGGGCACCCGCCCGCTATTAATGGACCTCGTCCTGAATATCATACTAGCATACTGTGCCTAGGGCTAACCCCCGGGTCTTCTACTCATAACTACATGGGCCGACATTGTGGCCTTAGACCCATTCACACAAAGGGAAACTCACCTGCACTGGGTGAACTTGCTGATGATCTCACTAGCTGCTGCCCTGCAACTCACCGAACTCCTGCTCCCCTTGCTCCCCGAACTACCAATATCAATGCAACACTAAGTCTAACTGACCCCCGAAAGACAACCAAGTCAACCCTAGTCAAAGTCAAAGTCCTGGTCAAGGTCAACCCTACTCGCCAAGTCAACCTACTGACTCGCCGAGTTCATATATTCAAAATCCTTCCTTTCGCGTCTCGACTCGCCGAGTCAGTCCATGACTCGCCGAGTCTACCGATTTCTGAGTCCTGACCTGTCCAACTTACCGATTCTCCATCCGACTCACTGATTCGAGTCTCAACTCGAAGGTTTTGGGGTTTTACAACCTGACTCACCGAGTCCAAGAACAGACTCGCCGAGCACAAGGCAATCTTCATCTGACTCGACGAGCTATTCATCCCACTTGTCGAGTTGCTCCTCATCTTCATGCTACTCGCCAAGTCCACTCAAAGGACTCGCTGAGTCCATTCAGATCTCCTTACATGTAGAGGACTTTTAAGTCATGCATGGACTCCAAACCGTGGATCTACCCTTCCCAAGCCTATTCCTCACGTAAATTTGCAAACCTTACGTGTAGAGAAGGAGATCTAGGCAAAATACACCATAAACTAGGGTTTAAGGCAAAGAGGCTCCATAAACAACTCAAGGGCTGATACTTTATGCTTCTCAAGACCATAAAATGCTTAGATCTGAAGTAGCAACTTCAGATATGGCTTCTAACTCAATTGAATAACATTATGGCTAAAAAGCCCCAACAACCACACATAGATCTAAGTGCAAAAGAGTCCAAGAACTAGATTATTACCTCCAAATGCTCAGAAATATACTCAAAATCCCAGATCTATAGTCCTTTCTTGCACCTCCAAGTTCATTCTTCCTTCTCCAAGCTTTAATGCACCTTTCAAGGCAACAAATGGCTCAAATAGAGGATATGGCGGCTAGGGTTTGGTGTTCTGGGTTAGAGAGGCAGTAAAGGAACCCTAAGGAGGAGAATGAGGCGCTTAAATAGGCTCCAAGTCCCAAATTTAGGGTTTTCTCCGCACAGACCAGACTCGCCGAGTCCCTTTGGCCGACTCGCCGAGTCGGTCACTTACTCCTCGACCCGGATCCCGCTCGGACTCGCCGAGTTTCTCCTTGGACTCGCCGAGTCGCCCTTTAAAATTAGGGCTTTCTTTCCTTTCTTGGCCTTCCAGACTTTGGGTGTTATAGTTCCATATCTCATCATAGCAGAGTAGGGGCGGGGCCCATGATAGGCGAGGCCTTAGGACTAGAATATATAGAACTGTGTATGATTCTTTATGTGGTAGCATGATTATATGTTATTGTCTTTATATGTGTATACCAGGCGGGGCCTAGTGACAGGCGGGGCCTGAGATAAACAAAATTGTATACCGAGCAGGGCTCGATGCCAGGCGGGGTCTGTCCAGGACTCTGTCCGATGCGGGGCGGGGCCCGAGGAAGGTGCGGGGACCCAGTTTATATGATTTTGTGTATGGTGCATGGTAGTTTGGGGAGACTCACTAAGCTTTGTGCTTACAGTTTTCAGTTTTGGTTTCAGGTACTTCCGGTAACAAGGGGTAGAGCTCAGGATGACTGCAATGCACACATCGTTTGTTCAGTATGAGATGTTTTACTATTATATATTGATATGTGTTTTGATATGATACTCTGATTTGATACGATGACTTATGTTTTTGGATGAAATGATTTCGATAACTATGATTTATTTAATAATTAAAAATAAAAATTTTGGTTATGATTTTTGGGATGCTACATATGTGAACCATCAAATTAAGAAAAAGAGAATGTCGACGAAGATAGTTGTTCAAAGCCTGTCAAAAGCCTTCTCTTACTTTTCCCTTATAAACTAATTCAAAATGCCACGTAACCTATTTTCTATGTGGCTTAATTTGTACACGTCATCTAACCTAATATGTGCATTATGACTTGCTAATCTGAATAGCTCGTTGAGTTTACCATTTTCATTATGTCATTTGTTACTTTAATGAGGGTAAAAGATACAAAAATTAATATAGTAAATATTTAAACAAAGAAGCTAGAGTTGATAGAGTTTTGATGACAATAACCACAAATTATATAACTTGAACCAAAACAATTGATGATACACATAGACAATGAGGCTGTTATCTGTCTTTATTTTTTCACACTCAAATTAGCTAGTTTCGTGATACCTTTGATATTATAAAAACTACACAAATAGATTTGTATTCAGAGTATACACAAATTTATTAGATGAAACATATACAAACAATAGTTACAAAAAAGTATAATAAACATCCAAATGTTACAAACATGACGATTTATCATCTTGTTGTAACTGTTATAGTTTATACCAAAATGCTTATAATTTGACGGTTGAAAGTTCAAACATGAAATTAAAAATAATTTAAAAATAACTTAGTTTACCTGTTAGAAAAAACTTATATTGTTTTTTAAGTTATATAAAACACCAACAGATAATAATTCTAAAATGGTGTGAAATATAAAAAAAGCACATGCTAGGAAGGGTTTAAAAGTTTCATGTAAGCTACAATTTTAGGCTCATTTACAATTTCAATCAATTTCAATATTGATGCTCATAAACAAATATATAATATTTTTAATGGACATCTTCAAGTGTGTTATGACTTATAATCTAACTAGATAACATTAACACTTAACAATATCTACTAATACAAATTCGAAGCTCATAGTTCAATCATATGAATCATGTCAAGTTTGAAAATACACTATCTCAAATACTTATAACAATTAAGATTTTGTTAATATTTTAAGCATTCAATACTTTCAAACCGTTATTTTTATTTTTATAAGATTGATTATTAATTTATCATGGTAAAAATTTATTTTTTCGTTAAATCAATTATATTGAGTGATCACACCAAACTTTTATCTTATATTTTACCAATAAACATCTTTTATCAGTTGATTTTTGACTTTTGGAATGCTTGAGGAGTGGACACAAAACACCAAAGTCAAAATGACTATAAGTATTGGTTGATAGTATTCTTATTTAATTAATTTATATGAATAAACTTGATCTTACTAGTAATGTGAGCATGCTTTAGAAGATTTTTTTAGATCTCAACTGTTAACTTAAATTTAATAGAAAATCATATCCTAAAATCGTTCTAGTTTTTTTAATTTCATCTTTATGAGTGAAATCATTCATGATTTGAAGATCTATCCACATAAAATCCAAGTGTTAAAAATTAAAAGGCACCAAATCTGGTTTAAAGGGGTCTATCTGAAATTTCTCAAATAACAGGTACTAAAAATGCAAATAACGCTAAATTTCCTATTATGGCAATACCACGATCGGGAAGAGAGGACACAGGATCCTAAAATGCACGTAAGCAGCATAGAATCCAAACCCGGATTTGTTGGCAAGAACTAAATCAGATTGTAAACCATCCTTCACGTCCGTTTAAACTCTCGTAATTGAAGGATGATTATTGCTTCCCGGCTCCGTTTCTCAGTCAAAAAAGATAAATAATCGATGAGAGAGAAATATACGTCGGCGGCGTATCGCTCCTGACTTCTAAAAATACTCCTAAAAGGTCCGATTGTGCCAATCATCACTCTCAATTTTGCCCAATTTGTGTAAGTGCCCTAATCTATGTGAAATTGCATTCAAGGCAATTGAATATTTGGATATGGTCAAACTCTATTCATCTATTTGGTTGTTGGTTGAGGTATTAATTGTGATTTGTGTTTGAACGTTTTCGATTGGATCAGTGGATAATTTTTCGGAAGCAGATGACAGTTTTTTATTGGCTTGGTTGCTGCTGAATAATTTAATTGCTGGGCGACAGGGGCGATTTATGTATACAGTTAAAGATGGATTTGGTAGCGAGTTGCAAGGTATTGATTCAATTTTGTGCATATAGGGTAGTCTGAAGAGCGTTTTTGTGCTCGTTCAAGATTCAATGTGAATGCGTGCTATATGTGGTTAATACTTCCTGCTTTCTACAATTGAAGTCCACAATTCAATTAACTAAGATTAAGGGCATATGTTATCTTCTGTGGTGAATTGAGGACATCGATTTACTTTGATAGAACTATTATTTGATCAATTCTCAGCTAACAGATGTTTTTGGACCTTTGGTTGTTAGAAAAAAACATAACTTGTATAACCACTCACCTGAAGAAAAATCGTTCATTTTAATCCATTTCCACCTATTTATCTATCTGTAGTTAGCTCTAATGATTTCTAGCTGCTTTGCTTGTGTGTTTTGTTTATTTATTTTTTTACAAAATTGCACATGTTTAGACACAAATACTTCTATAATAAAGGGAAGAAAACTGGTGTATTATCATGTATGCCCATAAACTTTGAATTGGTTCTAGTTGCAACGTGTTTATATTTATCTCTTCTTTGTTGTAGGAAAAAATGGCACATTTTCGAATAAGAGAACTGAAGGACATCCTCACCCAACTAGGTCTTTCCAAACAAGGAAAGAAGCAGGTTGGTTTTTGCTTTCTATGTTTGTGGTTTGTTCAAGAATTTATCTGCATAGATCTTAAATCTGTATGGACTGTGGACTACCTGATTTGGGGTGTTGCCATTATTCTTATTCAGTTATTCCTTCACTTTTTTTGATTATCTTTTTCTTGTTCCTATAGGATCTCACTGACCGAATATCAGCTGTTCTGTCGGATGAAAGAGGTAAAACTAAAAGTTAGTCCATTTTAAATCATGTAGAACTGTTTCTAAGTCATATTTTTTAATCTGTATGTATTCAAATGTCAAAGAGGCCAATTATTGTGATGTGGAGGCTACATTTATGTGTTTCCCCCTTTTTTTTGTATACTTATTTACATGGGTAATGAATCTTGCATTTGTTTGCCATGTTGAGCAGTTTCAGGAATGTGGTCCAAGAAAAATGCTGTTGGGAAGGAAGAAGTTGCTAAATTAGTTGATGACATTTACAGGTTTGCATATCTTTAGATTGATTCTTCCTGAAAACTTATGCCTATGCACCTCATTATTACCGATGTACTTATCCATATTCCATAAAATGACTAGATGCCCTACTGTGATCTTACTACTCTTTCTTATAATCTTACTACCCTTTCATGTATACTTGTTTCCTTCCATTTAAATCAGTGTGTAGGCTTGTATTGCTAGTATTTGCTTTCTGCTTTATATTGCTAGTATCTACTGTATTCTGACATGTGTCCTTTTCTATTGTAACAAGGAAAATGCAGGATTCAGGGGCAACAGACTTGGCATCAAAAGGTCGAGCAGTTTTAGATGCAACTAATAGTACAAAACCTAAAGAGGAGATTGAAGATGTTCTTCAAAACATGGAAAAAGTTCGTTGCCCCTGTGGAAGCTCATTGCAAGCTGATTCAATGATAAAGGTTTCTTTTTTCTTCTCTTATATGCCGTTTTACCTTTTTCATTCCCATTATTGGTTTATGTATTATGATTCAATTTTTATTCTCAGTGTGAAGATCCAAGATGCGGTGTGTGGCAGCATATTAATTGTGTTATTATTCCCGAAAAGCCCTTGGAGGGTATTTTACCAGCACCTCCACCAAAGTTTTACTGTGAAATTTGTAGACTTGGTCGTGCAGATCCGTAAGTAATAATTTTTATTCCCAAAATTCTATTGCAATTTTTAAAAAAAAAAAAATTTAATAAGAAATGGTTACTTACTGATGTAATTTTTCAACATTCAGGTTCTTGCTTTCTGTGGCGCATCCTTTACCTCCTGTACAGCTGATAATTGCAAATACACCTACAGAAGGGTGAGTATTTTTTTTTTTTTTGTGTGTGTGTGTGTGTGTGTGTGTGTGTGTGTGTGTGTTTATTTTAAAGGGTAATTTGCAAGAAATAGCAACTACTTAACTCTTTTAACCAATATAGGCAATGCCTTTTATATTTTATCCATAATTGCAATAGACATACTAGCAATATGTAACAAATAAAATGGAATTCTCATATTGGTAGAAAAATGTAAATACATTGCTATTAGCGATAAAGAAATGTAAGTATGCTGCTATTATGGGCAAGGAAAAAAGTACATTGCTCATATTATTCTCCACAATTTTCCCTTTCTTAAATGGCTCTATGTTGAAAATTGAAATCCTTTGTTTACATATTTTAGAATGGAATTATTTTGAATGAAAAATGATGGCTCTGGCTTTTTTCTTTATTACCTTTGGTGTGTATTTTTCAGTGCAAATCCAGTTCTAAGTGTTGAAAAGACTTTTCAACTTACAAGAGTAGATAGGGATTTGTTGGTGAAACCAGAGTATGATGTGCAGGTTAGTTATATAAAATATAAATTCCTTTTTAATGAATTTATATTAACATAAATATATATATATTTTTAATGAAATATGGGTGATTCTAAATCTATATATCTAGGCCTGGTGTATGCTTCTGAATGACAAGGTTTCTTTTAGAATGCAATGGCCACAATATGCAGAACTTCAAATCAATGGTAGGTATCATTTTATCTGATTTAAATTGTGTTAATCTATTTAAGCTTTAATTCCATCTGTTTTAATAAAAAACTCTGCATTTGACTCAGGGGTGCCAATGCGTGCAACAAATAGACCGGGTGCTCAATTGCTTGGAGCCAATGGTCGTGATGATGGTCCTATTGTAAGTTTAATATATATATATATATATATATATATATATATATATATATATATATATATATATATATTATACAAAAACATTATGGATTTATTATTTATATAAACATACCCTGCACTCGAGACATGATTAATAAAATAAAGATTTCTTTTTTGTCAGATCACACCATGCACTCGAGATGGAATTAATAAAATTTCATTAACAGGATGTGATTCTCGCGTCTTCTGTTTGGGTGTCCGGATAATAAAACGGCGCACAGTTCAACAGGTGGGAAGTCTCCTTCAAATCCAGATGTTAGTTTCTTAAAAAATGCTATGCTATTGTTTTTTTGACCAAAATACCCCCACCCCAATACATGCCAGATGTGGTTACCATGTTTTATGTTTCTTGTCTTGACAGCAACAGGAAGTAGTTTTTTTTTTTTTTTACCAATATCAACCATATTTTCAGCTGTTCTTGACTACCATGCTATTGTTTTTATTTTTGACGATTTTACCCCTGATAGATTCTCAACCTTATTCCTAAAGAGTCCGATGGTGAGCGGTTTGAAGATGCTCTTGCACGTGTTCGCCGCTGTGTTGGCGGTGGGGCCCCCACAGAAAACGCTGACAGTGACAGCGATCTGGAGGTTGTTTCTGACTCTATACCGGTTAATCTACGTTGCCCTGTAAGTACACCACATTTTCTTTCATCTCTTTTGTTTAAATTAGCAAATTACAATTTTAGTCCTTCTGGACTATGTCATCTGTTGGATCATGGTCACTACTGTTTTGATTTGATTTTAGAATTTAAGATTAAGATGGGGGCAATATAGTCATTTTCCTTTTACACACAGTTAGTTTCCGGGACGAATATTGTAACAAAACCAAATTTGCAAAAAATGAAAAATCTGGACTAAATCCGTAACTTTTGACACACCACAGGGACTAAACTGTTATTGATAGTTTTGCTTCTTTCTTTTTTTAACATGAAGATTTGAATTTGATATTTATGTTGCAGATGAGTGGTTCTAGAATGAAAATTGCTGGAAGATTCAAACCGTGTGCCCACATGGGCTGTTTTGATCTTGAAGTGTTTGTTGAAATGAATCAACGGTCTCGTAAGGCAAGAACATTCATACAATTCTTCATTGATATATGTAATCATATTTCTCTCTTTTCATAAGTTATTAATTTTTTTTTTCTTTCAAAACCTTTGTGTTTCCTTTAGTGGCAATGCCCAATTTGTCTCAAGAATTACGCGTTGGAGAATGTCATTATCGACCCATATTTTACGCTTATCACATCTAAGGTAATTAGTTATCGTTAATCTTGGTTATCTTTGTTTTGAGTTCTAACAATTTTTTTAAACGATTTACTAACTAAAAGTTATTATTTTTATTTTATAAAGATGCGTAATTGTGTGGAGGACGTGACAGAAATCGAAGTGAAACCAGATGGTTCATGGCGGGCAAAGTCAGAAGATGACCGAAAAAGCCTAGGAGAACTCGGGCAGTGGCATCTGCCCGATGGGACACTTTGTGTTGGTGTCCCCATGGAAGTCGACTCTAAACCCAAATTAGAAGCTCTAAAACAGGTCAAACAGGAAGGTTTGACCGGCTCTGAAGGTCACACTAGGGGCTTAAAACTCGGAATGAAAAAAAACAAAAACGGGTTTTGGGAAGTCAGAAAACCTGATAATTTAAATTCAGTTTCTTCTGGCAGCAAACTGCCCGAAAACTTCATAAACACCAACGGTCATGGTATTGGTAATAATATTACTACTCATAATAATGTTATTCCCATGAGCAGTAGTGCCACTGGTAGTGGTGGCGATGATACTAGTGTCAATCAAGATGGTGGTGGGCAGTTTGACTATTCTACCCCTAACGGGGTTGACCTCGACTCACTTTCTTTGAACATTCATGGATTTGTAAATCCGGGTGACGCTGATGTCATCGTTCTGAGTGATTCGGAAGATGAGGCTGAGGCTATGCCTGTGGCTGACACTGTCGTTACTCATAATGACAACCTACTTTCTTCTTCTGCGCAAATTGGTTTTCCAAATCTACCCTTGCATTCGCATCCTGAAGACCCTTCTAGTCTTCCGCTTGGTCTTTTCAATGATGATTTTGGAGCCCCCTTTTGGTCTGTACCTTCTAACAACAACCATGGAGTGGGGCCCAGCTTTCAGTTATTCGGTTCGGATGCGGACCCCACCGATAACGGTCCACTTGGCGGATTTACATTGGGTGGCGAGACTTCGATGGGTGGTCCCACCGCACTTGGAGCAGACGATGGGTTGGTGGATAACCCGTTAGCAGCTTACGGAGGCGATGATCCGTCGCTTCAGCTTTTTCTTCCTACAAAACCATTAGAAGCAACAACAACAGAACATGTAGAGGTGACACGTCAGCAATCCATGTCATCAAATGGTTTCCGAAGTGATGACTGGATATCTCTCAGCCTAGGTGGTGGTGGTGGTGGGGTCCGCTGTGAACCGGATCCAGGTGTGAATGGGTTGAATTCGAGACAGAAAGCACCATTGAAAGATGGTACACTGGATTCATTGGCGGATACTGGTATTAATTTGATGGGTTTTTTTTCTATAATGTTTATTTATTATTTTTTTGCTAATTTGATTTCTAATTTATTTTTGTTGTATAGCTTCATTGCTGCTTGGAATGAGTGATGGGAGATCTGAAAAGAGTAGTAGGGAAAGGGAAGGATCGGATAGTCCGTTTTTGTTTCCTAGACAAAAGCGGTCTGTTAGACCACGATTGTTTTTATCAATTGATTCAGATTCAGAAGAGGAGGGATGATAAGATAAATTAATAAATTAAATGGTGAAGAAAATGACCCAAGACTCTTCTTGAGTTTGGTTTTGATTTTGTGGAAATTTAGGGTTTGGAATGGATAATGCCGTATTTGCCCTCAAGAAAGGCGTGGTTGGTATAGATTCTTCTTCTTTCTTTTCTTTTTTTTTTTTCATGGTGAAATTGTAACATTCTAATAGGCTTCTTTCTGGTAGCAAGTATATTTAGATTCTAGATCATAAACCACTTCTTTTTCTGATTTATAGTGAGAGGAAATTAATTGCATGTAAATGTTTTCTTTCTTTTTAACTCTTACTCGAGACTTATTATTCTGGTTAATTAAATAGAAACATAACTTTTATCCTTTACATCATGAGAAACTTGGCTGGAGGTTGTATTAGTTGATGTTATGGGTTGATGTGTCTCCTTGGCAATTAAAGAAGTAAATTAATTGTTATTCTTTTTACGACTTAAGTGGGGTTGAAAAATGAAAACGCGATAAGTTAAGTGGGGTTTTATAATTTTACGAGAGAAACAAGCCAAGGTTCTCAAGATCTTACATACGACTGTTCTACACTTAATAAGATCGAAAAATTCTATCAAAATGAATCAAACCAAGGTTCTCAAGATGTTCTACAATTAATAAGATCGAAAGATTCTATCAAAATGAATCAGTATTCACAATTTGCTTGCAAGATCTAGGTTTTGTAGCATTTCAATATAATTTGATATGTTGGTAGACTAACCTTTACAAAAGACCTCATTAACAAAATTAACTTACTTTGTCTCCAATATGACTTTCTACTAATATCTTTAACCCACAACTTCCAACTTAACCCAACAAGTTAATATCTTTCACAATATAAGTCGAAAACTTAGTTTGCCAAGTTTAAGTCCAACTTAAGCCTAAGTTTCTAAAGTTGACAAGATTGCCCCCAATCTTCATTTTTTTAAGAAATTAAATATCATCCTACTTTTTTTTTTTTTCCCCCTACTAATATTCCTACCTATTTAAATGATAACATTTATCATATTAGTTAACTAAATCATCATTAAATTTCATTAAATGAACATTAAATGTTACATATGTAACAATTTAATTGGGTAGAAAGATTTATAGGAATAAAAAGTAGGATGATATTTAATTTCTCTTTTTTATTTAACTCAATAGGACTTTCTAAATATATTTCTAGATTTATATATCTTTCAATCCAAACTTAAATGATAAAATTCGTCACAAATAAGTGTATATAATAATTAAATGAATTTACCCAAATGTTATTCCTTAATTCCCAATCTTAAAGATTCCAACCTAACTTATCTATCTAACTAATAAATTATTATTGTTTTTAATTATTTTAAATTAAATGCTTAAAGTTTTAACACCACTAATTTAATTTAATTTAAATTTATTTTGTATAGAAATTCAGTTACAAAAAGTATATGAAAATACTAAACATTATAATAGATATTGAACTCCTACAAATCAGATACAAGGGAAATGAACTTTTCTTGGTTGACAATTGTATTAACCATTAAACCCTTTTTCCAACATGTACATTAGACACACTCGGTCCACATAATAATTTGATATTGTTCAATTGAATTTATAGATACGATCTTTAAATCTTGCGACTTGATTGAGTCAATTGATTAACTAATGGAAACACTTGCAATTTGACTGAGTCAGTCGATTTAACTAATGAAAACACTTTCAAAAACTCATTACTAGGCAAAGTAGTCAGGAATATTCACCAAACAACAAGCAAGTTATATGATCAAATTAGCACTTTCCAAAGAACGTTTATAGTCGCCTAGCTCAAAGTATACTTCATCCAATGGAACTATAACAACCTCTTTACAGAACATGTAAGGCATGAACAACATATCCCCTTCCACATTGATGTGGACTTCAAGCAAGCTCCCAAAGCACACCTTTATGAAAGAGCCTTAGATGTTGGAGAAGTTGTAATCTTGCAAGAACTTTTGCACCAAGATAAGGTTCACATACTATAGTTAATAAAGCTTTGTACACATCGTCACGGTAAAACAACATAAAACCAAGTTAGTATCAATGAAACTAATATGTCTACTTTGGAAAAGGTCATAACATTTCGGACATGGTTCAATTTCAGATAAGTTTATTTTGGACTGTTCATCGCATTCTAGAAAGGCTTTCCTTTTCAAACATGTTTATGGATGGGTTTATCATAAGGGTCATGTAATTCCAACTCACTATTACTTAATATGTAAATAGATATAAGGCTAACTACTTACCAACACTAGGTTTCTACATATTTTGAAACGAAAAACCTCATTTCTTCCAAACAAATTCATCGGAGTCCAGACATTGTTTTTGTTTTTAGGACATTGTTTTTTCGTATTCTAACACAAGAATAAGTAATAAAATGTTTAAGGGAATTGAGAAGATACCTACAAAACCATAATTTATTCATCATCCGAGTCCATTTTCATCAAATTCTAGAACATCCGAAATCCTATTTCCGTAACATGGTGGTACCACATCTCAGAATTCTGTTAAGTAAGGAACCACTCAGCTGGGTTGTTAAAAGACCGATATTGAATCTTTGGTAACCCGTTCCAGTATGGATGAGCATCGGAACCGGGTACCCGTTTTTGGAACCGGAACCGCCTCGGAACTGCCGGTTCTGAAACCGGAACTGCCTTAAGCGGTTCCGGTTCCGGTTCCTAAAGTTATGGAACCGCCTTAATCGGTTCCGGTTCCAATTCTCATTTTTTTGGAATTGCTACCCGCTGGGTATATTAGACCGATTTAGAATATATATTGGTCCGAATTGATTCAATTTGGATCGAACTAAGTTGCGGTTTTATCGTCAAAAGTTAACAAAATTAATATAACCGGGTTACCCGCTCTCGGAACTGGAACTGCCGGTTCCGGGAGTGGTTCCAAAAATTCAAGAACCGTCTAGAGCGGTTCCGGTTCCGGTTCTAACTTTCTAGGAAGTGCTGGTTCCGATTCCGATTCCGGTTCTCGCCAAATGAGGCGGGTACCCGCCTATGCTCATCCCTACGTTCCAGATGTACGGATCATTTTTCTAAACTTCAAACGATTAGGTTATTTTGTTTGATACTAAATTAAATATTTGAATAATAATCATCATATTTGTAAATATCCCAATTGAAAAAAAAGTGAAGGGTCATTTTGCGTTATAAAAGAGGCGTGGCCCATCAACAATTTCAATAATCATCATCACAAGCTAAAATTAAAAAGAGGATCTACTTTCCTGGTTCGTCGGGATTGAGGGAAGAACTCCAGCGATCATCGTCTTGTGTATGACCTTCTTCTCCATTTCCATAAAAAAGCACTAGCAGTATCGTTATCAGGTACTCTTCTTTCTTCTCTATCTTCTTTGCTTTTACAGATCTAAATTTGCTGTATAGTCGTATGATTCAACCCTTACTGCCTCACAATTTTTTGATCCAAGTCTCCGAGATCAGAATCTGTATCAGTCGTCCCGGATTTAATCCAAATTTATCAGACTTGGAATCCAGCAACTAGATTTGAAGTTCACTTTATCTAGCCCTAACTGCACTTATTTGACACAACTTCTGAAAACCGCACAAATCCGTGGAGTAGATCTTAGTAATTGTGATCATCGTTCACATAAATTCAATCCAGTATACTGAACTTGAACTCCATTGGATCAATCCGAGCTTCGAATCTCATCTAAATGAACTTCAATTCCTAGTCAAACACAATTCAATAATTCGATATAACCCTCTTCCTATTAACAGGTTTACATATTCAACAGGATGTCTGGTCAGACCCAGCGTTTGAATGTGGTCCCAACTGTCACCGTGCTTGGAGTTGTCAAAGCTCGTCTTGTAGGCGCAACCAGAGGCCACGCTCTTCTCAAGAAGAAAAGCGATGCTCTAACAGTTCAATTTCGAGCTATCCTTAAGAAAATCGTCACGACAAAAGAATCAATGGGAACTGTAATGAAAGCTTCTTCCTTTGCTTTAACCGAAGCCAAATACGTTGCAGGAGAAAACATCAAATTCACTGTTATTGAAAATGTCAAAACCGCAACTCTGAGAGTCAAATCACGCACAGAGAACATTGCAGGTGTAAAGCTTCCTAAATTCGACTACTTCACTGAATCAGAAACAAAAAACGACTTAACTGGTTTAGCAAGAGGTGGGCAACAAGTTCAAGTATGTAAAACTGCATATGTGAAAGCAATTGAGGTTCTTGTTGAACTTGCATCCCTTCAAACATCTTTCTTGACACTCGATGAAGCAATCAAGACTACAAACCGTAGGGTCAATGCTCTTGAGAGTGTGGTCAAACCAAGATTAGAGAACACCATAAGTTACATCAAAGGTGAGCTTGATGAATTGGAAAGGGAGGATTTCTTTAGGTTGAAAAAGATTCAAGCTTATAAAAAAAGGGAGATTGAAAATAAGATGAAAGCTGCTGCTCAGTTTCGGGAGTTACAAGCTGCTGAACATCTTTCTTTAGAACAAGGAATCTCCATTAATGCTGCTCATGACATGCTTACTGTTGCCCAGAAAGATGAAGACATTATCTTCTGAAATGGAGGTTAGTTTATTTATGTACTTTTATCATGTTTTATATGAATTTCATTTGTTAAATCAACGAGCTGTGTTTACTTTTTGAATAAAAGCTTCATGTGTGCAGCTATATATTTGGTGTCAGTTTTCTTACAATGACTTTATTTTTCTTTTATTTGTATTATGTTTGTTGTTTTTGCGGATTTTGTTAATTTATCGATTTTTTAATCATGCTATTGTTTACTTTATATCTTTGTTTGTGGTGAATATCTACATACTATAATGAGTTATAATATATTGCTAGTATTGGTAAAAAATGTAATATGTTGACTTTGTGGGTAAAGAAATGTAAATATATTGCTATTATGGGTAAAAAGTGAAATATATTGTAACTAACATTTGCTAAAAACACGTGTGTTTATTACCAACATTTGCTAATCTACTAACTGAAAACAAACTAACTTGTAACTAACTCCCACTTGTTAATAACAAACTAACTGCCACGTGTGTACATTATACTAACAAACTTTAGTTTTTGTCTTTTTGATTTATCCAAATAAGGTACAACACCATTATAACTATTGTACAAGTTAATGAAGCATGTATTTTTATGTCGAAGTAATTTCTCACATCTGAATTGTTAAGACTTGAGACGCATCCTTCTAGCTGAATCATTCAAATGCTTGCCTTTGACTAATTCAAAGGTCCAACTTAACGAGCTAAATGCTCTTAATGGTTGTATTATCATAGATGCTGAGTATGAATAGAACTATTAAAATGCTACCAAACAACCTTTACATTATATATTTTGTTATTGAGTTGAAAGT